CCTAAGATGATTAGAGATAGGTCCCTAAATCATGATTGCATGTGTTTGCATTTGCATGGCCCCCTATAGTGGGGCCACTTACTGAGTATTCTTTGAAATACTCAGGCCGTGTGCCACTTCATTTTTCAGGTAAAGGCAAGGCGCACTTGTATGGAGGACGGCGGCATCGCGAGCAGAGACTGTGGCACGTGCATAGGATAGATTCATATTTAAATTTCTAGTCTTAAGTTAGAATAGGTTGTTTTGCATTTCATTGTTTTAAATTATTTTGTATTTGTTTTTGTTTTCTCTAAATGTTCAGTATTTCATATTTAAACACGTAAGACCATGGCTGTGTTTTCTAGAGAAGAAGTTGTTTTAAACGGTTTTTTTTAAATTTACGTTATCAATTATGTTCATATAAGAGTTATTTCCGCATTATAGATGAGCATCAAACGTTAGTAGCGACTCTGAGTATGTGAAAATTTAGGGTCGTTACAATCATAGTATGTAGCTAACTTGGAGTCTTCGCTTCTTTTGTACAAAAGATCGTAGACGATTGTACCCTTAACATATCTCAAGATTCATCGAGCCACATCCAAATGAGACATTTTCAAACTTTGCATGTATCAACTAATGACTCAAACTAGATTCTCAATCCCTTTGGTTGGTTCATATAGATCTCCCGGTCCAACTCCCCATGCAATAAAGCATTTTTCACATCTATCTACCATAATTTTCAAGTTTTACTTGTCACAAGTGCTCTCTGGTACGATAGTGATCTTCGCCACTAGATTAAACGTTTCATCATAGCCTAACCCATATTATTGAGAGAACCCTTGAGTATAAGTCGAGCCTTGTATCTCTCAATTAATTCTTCTTGGGGACTCTCTATTTTGTAAACACACTTGCAAAAAATGAGTTTGCATCTTATAGCTCACTACAAGAAAAGTAGCTTTTCATAGCATTGTAGAATAACATTTTTAAAATAATGCTATGAAAAAGAAGGAAAATGGCCCAACTCTCTCTTCCCTCCCTTTTTTTTTTCCGGTTTCGCTCTCATTTCTTTTTCTTTTTGGGTTTCCTTCTCATTTCTTCCCTTCTTTCTCCTAGCCCTAGATCCATCTCCTCTCTCATTTCTTCGGTTCTTTCTCTTAGCCCTAGATCTATCTCTTCTGGGCTTTTTCCTTTCTTTCCATTGACAGTTTCAAACTCACCCATTTCTCTCATTAGGCTGCTGGAAGTGGTCGACAACAACCACAACAACGGCGGTAGAGGCGGCGGCGAGGATCATGACCGGAACGCAGATGATTGGGATTGGGCGGCCCTGCTATCGCAATCGTACAACTAGAATGAACTGGATGAGATGCAGAGGAGCTGGCTTCTCGGTCCGGTGGAGGGAAAGAAAAACAGATATGTTGACCTCATGTCGAAGAAGGCTTTGAAATAGGAATACTGGTGGAATCAAGATGTGCCCATCCTATTTTATTTTCGGACGACCCATGGTACGGCTCCCCTTCTAAAAGATTTTGTATTTTAATCAATTTTTTTTTTCTTCTGTCGTTGTTCAGTTTAGAAGCTTAGTGCTTGAAATGACCTGAGTGGTTGCTGATAGACATAGACAGGGCTTTTGATTTTGATGCATCACTCTTGAATTTGATTCTTTAGTTAGATAAAATGGAGTTAAAGGGTCATTTAAATACGGGAGAGCCATTATTGTAGAATAACTTTCACTTCAGTGTTAGGAGGACATGTGTGGTTACGGTAAGAAAGGAAGGGGTGAAGGGAAAATCATGACCATTAGCTCATTATGTTATTGGCTATTTGGATGAGAAGCATAGATATAGACACAAGACAAATTAATATAACAAAGATAGAACACCATATTTTTAATGTCTAGAACACATTATAAATTACCATAATTGAGCGATTAAGTGACTGAGAGTTGCTTCGAGCAGTGGAAAGGGGTGAAAGGGAAATGATTGAGAGTGAAAAATTAAAGGGGCAATCATAATAATATTATTGGAGACTTAACTTTTAAGTGGGGATTTGATATAATTTAGTTGGAAAGGAAAGAGTGTTGTGTGGGATATTAAGTAAGATTGTTGGGACTTGAGCAAAGAAGAATAATAATAGAGTCTCGGTAGGTTTTGTTTGGTGTAATTTGAAGTAAGGTGTGAATTTTAAATGTGCTAAGAAGTATACAAATCTGGAGGGAGGAAATTTAGAGTTTTGGTAGTGTGACAATGTCTTCTTTAGGCTCTATGTCAAATTAGAGATTGAGAAAATGTGACCAATTTTTCACTAACAAAGTTGCAAAGTTGCACTACAAGCTGCTTTCCATTACCTTCACAGAGATTCAAATATGCTTTGGTAGATACCCACGTTTTGCTTATGCAAAGAATTCTAAACTCTTCACAATATGGTAACAAATTTTTCTCTGCTTATTTATCATTTTTTTTCAATATTTACTATTTTGGTTTTAGTTGATTATGTGAGAATGAGTACATGTGAAAAAAATGTTAATGTATGCCTTCTTCCTCTTTCCATTTCTTTTTGCTCTTCGGACATTTTATCTTTTTAGTTATTTATTATCTCTTACACATGAATGATGCTACTTCAAATTCTTTATTGTCTTAATTTACTTTGAAAAATATTTATCTAATGGCAAAATTTTAATTAAAAGACTCCTATCCATTACAAAGAAGACTTTTAATCCTTTGTTTCCCTCTTGATTTAAGCTTTACAACCTACAATTTGTTAAAGTAGGTCGCATTGTCACAATTAGTGTTGTCATCGTATATTTGTTTTGGTTTTAATGTTAATGATTTGTTGTTATAGGGTGCATATAAGGTTAGTTGTTGTGGAAATAGGTTGTTATGGAATAGGAGTGAGGTCAAGGAATAATTGCAAGTGTGTCTCTATCTTCTCTTTCTTGCATTTCTTTGATATTGAGTAATGGTAAACAAGTTCATTCATAGAATAGGTGGAAAATGAGATGATTTTAGAGATTGTTACAAAAAATTTCTAATATCTCACTACTAGTCTGCACTATATAAGTCTCTATCTCTTTTTTCTTTTTCTTACCATTGCATGTCTTTGTCGTCACAAAAAATAATACCTTTGTAGCTTTTAAATATAACATTTTGAACTAAAAGCTATGAAAAATTGAACATACAATTTTTTAACTCTGCAATTTTTATTTCTCTCCCCTTCCATCTTTTGGTTTTTGTCCATTTCATTTCACAACTTCTTTCCCTCCTCGCACATCAAAATTCTTCTTTCATTTTGTCAACTTAATTCTATATTACTAATTATTCTCTTTCAGAAAGTTAGAGAGACGAAGATGAGCAAAGCAATAATGACTTGAAGGAAGAGGCTTTCGAGATGTCGTACCACGAGCCTTCAAAGATTTAGGTAAGTTCAATTGGAATTGGTTGCTATATTTTAGATTCTTGATGTTCAACTATGGATTTACAGTCACTTCCTCTAATACTCTTCTCTATTTATGATTGTTTTGAATTTTAAAGTGGTTTTTGTCCAAAGAAGAACTCTCAAGTTAAGATTTCACTTTTTATTTTATTTTATATATTCATTTTTTTTATAGGATTCTAAGGATTCTAATGCTAAATTGAGTTAAAATTTTCCATTTTCTAATTAGGATTTGAGTGGTTATAAGTAATAGTAAAATCTTGTTTTTATTTTACTTTTTTTTTTTTTTTTGGTTCATTATCTTATAAGATGTTTTAATATCTAATATTTCAGCTGAAAAGTTTGTAAGAGTATACTCCACGAGCAAAGATGATAGAAGACTTACAATGCAAAGCCTCAACATAATAGCGACTCTGATTCATTGAACAACAAAGAGAATACTTTATCTTGTATCATTTGAATACATTAGTTTGTAACCTAAATAGATTATCAAATTTCAATTCATTGTTATGTATTTCATGTGTGTTTAGTTAAAGATGTGTACTTGGATTAAATTTTATTACGATATAATTAATTCAACGATATTTAAATATTAAAATAAAATTTGACAACAAAAAATAATAAATTCTATGAAAAGATTATTAGAATAATTATAATTATTATAAATGATTAAATAACTTTATTATAGCATAATATTAAAGTTATAAATGTTATATTATAGCGTTAAAAAAATGCAATTATAAGTTGAAAATAACACAATATTTTAGTAATGTTAAACATATAATAGCATTAGTAAAAACGCTATAAAATGATTATATAACAATGTATAAAAGCTATAACTTCATACTTTATTATAGCCTTTATTATAGCTACAAAAAAATGCTATAAAATGTCCCATACTTTTAATAACATAGGCTGTCACGACGAAGTTTATGATAGCATTTTTCGTAAGCTATTGTATTCATTGTTTCTTGTAGTGTAGTCTTGACAGGAATTCCCATATTTGATTTGGCTCCAAGCCTATAATTTCTTCCTCAATTTCCTTCTATCAAGCCGTATTTTGTGATACTTCTTCATACATCTATGGCTCTTTAACTTCGTTTTCTATAGTAGCTACATTGACATACTTTGGATTTGACTTTTGGATTCTTTCTAACCGTCTAATTTGTTGATGTGTCATTTCCTTTTCACTAGGTTTGCTTGGTTCAGCCACTTCTTGCTCACCAAAATTAGTGTCACTTGGATCTTCAAGTGCATTAGCACTTAACCAAATATTTGTATATGCTTTTCCATCTTCTGTGGTATAATTTTTTTCAATATTGTTCGAGTATGGTAAGACGTTCTTCACTGAGGACCACCACACTTCTGTTGAACCACTCTGATCACGAATTATGTGGTTTGAGTTTTTGGAATCAATCTTCCAATCATTTTCATGCATAATCGGTATACTCTCTCATCATCACCATGAGCACTAACTCGTCTTCTTCTATGACACATAGTACCTTTGAATCTCATTCATCCTCCAATCTCCTTTTTTGAGGTTGCCACATTGTTTTCGAATTTTTCCTAGACCAACAATTCTTGAACATGTGGCTCTTCGTCCTATAATTGTAGCAAATACTTTCAAATATTTTCTCTTGAGAACTCTTATTGTCGCTCTCTGAGCTTTCGTAGGTTGTGCAGTTTCTTGGTGATTTTTTTTTTTTTTTTTTTTTTTTTTTTTTACAATTTTGTATCCACGCTTGGTAAACGAATTATTGTTGCTTTGATTTTCACTTGTGTAGAAGGCTTCTTCTTCGCCCTTTAACGTGATGTCTCCTATTTGTTTACTCATGCCTTTACTAACAAATTTTCAAACTCTGCAAGTGATGGTTGAGTGAGCCATCCTTGGTTGCAATTGGTGGATAATGATCCTCTTCGTTCGAGCTTCTCCAATGACAGATTTCGAGTCTAGTTCAGTAATCTCTCAACAGATCGACTTGACCTAGTAAAAGTACTGAGTAATCATCATGTCGTATTGTCATATTGATAAAAGCTCGTTCTCCAGAAGTTGTAACGTCATACATTCTTCTTTGAGAACAACATCACGAATATGTTTCGTGCTGCTTTTGGTGTCTTGTAATCTCAAATGTTCGTCTTTGCGAATTGTATCATGAATGTGTCCCATACTTCTTTCAGTGTCTTATCATCCCAAATGTGCTCTAACACCTCTTCTTCAATTTTTCTTTTCAAGACAAACATTGTTTTACCTTATTTGATTCTTCATTTGCACAAGGCACCATTAGAATCCTCCGACACCATAATTTTGCTTCTGTCAACAACCTCCCAAAGGTCTTGTTCTTGTAAATAGGACATCATACATGTTGCCCACGTGTTATAGTTGTTGCTGTTGAGTTTCTTAATTCTTTCAAGGATTTGGAAATTACCCATTGTGTTGCCTATACATCAATAACACCAAACAAGCTTTTTTGACACAAAACTTAGAGAGTCACGGACTACTCATAACACAAAAAAACTCACTCACTAATAATTTCAAGAAATTGTTTAGGATGTGGAAGATCAGAAAAGGCTAAAAAGCTGCCACCACATAGCATACTAAGAATTTCAAGAGATCAGACAACCAATACAAACCTCGATCTAATATCATATTGTTGAACACAACTCTTTGTGACAAACACTCACACTCTTTATTAAATCCAATCAAGAAGAGATTATAAGACATTTTGTAGAATATTGCTACATTTTGTTTTGCATGAGACGACTTCGAATTTTTTGGGATGAAAACCTTAGTAAGGTGACGAAATCTTTTGGGGACCCTGTAGCAATTTTGACAGCAAATTTTTGGGGGATTACAAGAAAATTTTAATCTAAATTAGCAAGCCACATAGGCCGTTGACTACCCAATTAGAAGCTACCTAGGTGGACCAATCATCCCTTTTCAGGACCAATCATCCATTTTCAGTCCTAAATGAAAAAAAAAAAAAAACAATATAAAAGGAGAAAACTTTCAAAGATTAAATTTAAATTTAATATTTTTTTTCATTCTACGACTTTTAAAAGAGTTCGTGTATACATCGTCTCATTAAGTTATACATACATAAATAAATAAATAAATAAATAAATATATATATATATATATTATATAAACAAATGAAATTATATTTAACTATCAGTCTACTTCTCTCCGGAACCTGAACCGATATGACCTTCCCTGATGGCCTTCGTTAAATAGGTGAAGTAGCTAATTTATTTCCTCGACTGTAAACAAGGGTTGAACTACTGATCTTTCTCTTTGCTTTCCGCTTTCAAGACTGAACCTCAAACCTTTTTCTTGCTTGAACGGTAAAGTGGTTTCACTACTGATCTTTCTCTTCTCTTGCTTGTCTTCTCCTGGAAAATCAATAATAAAGTCTTTACCATTCTTTTAGTTGTTGATGAGGTGACACCCCTATTTGAATTGGGGATATATATATATATATATATATATATATATATATATATATATATATAGAAACAAATGAAATTATATTTATTAAATTAGGAATAACTCAACAGTAATTTAATGATTTAAGTGGAAGGTTTATATTTATACGAAGATTTGAATGTTTTTATATCACTAAATGTGTGATTAATTTTTTTTCTTATGTTGGTGGTAAGATAGTCAAAAATTATTTTTGGCAGATCATTTACCCAAAGGTTTAAAATAGTAAATGTGAACTTTTTATTGTTATTAAAAGGATAATGCACTGTCTCATGGCTTCTACAATAGTCGTTCTCATCTGTCTAGTCCTCTTGCGAAAAAATTTATGTGACAATACTTATTATAAGTAGCTCATGGTTGGAATTAGAAACTACACAAGTACATGTTGTGTATGTAATGTCTATAATGATGGATTGGTGGGACCTAAAATCATGACTAATCTTGAACTCTATTTTTTTTTTTAAGAATAATTGGATTGCAATACTTCTCACCCACGATCTACACGCATGTACATGGATTCACTAGGTGAGAATCACTATCATACTCCATAAACTTGACTATGCGCTTGTACGTGCTCACATGACCAAAACTTGTAAAAAAGAAAGGAACGTGGATGAAGTATCGTAACTATGCGTATTTGTATGACTGAATTAATAATCCATGACTAAATGATTACACAACATATATTAAATTTCATAATACAAAATATTAGCCGAGTGATATGGTGCTACATAAAACATTTTCATACCTACCGCAACTTTAATCTCTTATGGGACTTGAAATCATGTCAACCACTCTTAATCATATCATATATTTGTGTTAAATCTTTAACTCAAGGGAGCACATGCCACACATAAACATACCATAGTACCTGCATCACATAATCAACTTAAATAAATTGGGACTTTAATTATTATGGATGAATATAAATAAATTGGACTTTAATTATTATGGATTAAGCTATTCATGCATCAAACAATTCATCCAATCAACTTCAAAGACATTCTTATGGTATGTTACCTCAATTAGAGAATGACAACAATTTTAAATTTCTATTAGTTAGTAGATGCATTGGTTTTAAACCAGCGGAGGTTAATATCACTCCGTACATGTAAAAAGCTTATAACTCATTGATCCTATTAGAAAAGTTTACACTGAAGGATCAATGAACGGGTCAAGCCTAACCAGGATCTAGGTGAAACAACCAATTAATATTTTTTAAACGGTTACAATATACCAAAAAAAAAAAAAAAAAATTATCCTTGAAAGTACCTCACCTTGGAGAAGATCGAGATACTATGCTATTATTTCACCCTCTATGTCGCCTTCTCTAATTGATTGTTGGACTGAACAGTGCAATTTTCACCTATAAAGTGTCTTCATTTCCTTAGCTAGAATATGCGTCACAATTTTGTACGACATATATACATGAAACACATTGTGAATTATAGGAAGAGACATGGCGTTGGGGTACTCAAGACCTTGAAAATTACCGAGGAAATGTTGATCCAAAGTATCTGTTTAGATTACTTACGCATAGTTGGCATTTATCATACACCATGTATTCCGATCCCCTTTTCCTCATTGTATGAACTTGACACATATATAGTTACCCTCTCAACATATTTTGGTTCATTTTTCTTGCCGGTAAAGTTTTAAAATTCCAAGGAAATTTTATATCTAAATTTTTGTTTCCAGTTTCGCCTAGTCTTTTGAGTCATTCTCGATCTTTTGATGCCTCAAAATTTTGGAGTGTAACATGCACCCACTACTTATAAAAACACTTGTGAAATTTCAGCCAAACTCATCATCATTTACTACCTCGAAAATACTTGAAACAAAATTAACCATTATATTCAAAAGAAAATTAAGAAAGAATCAAAGTGAGGGAGCAAGAAAAGAGATAAGAAATTTATTTCACTTCATATCATGATATAGAAAACATAAAGTTACTTTGTCAAAAATAAGTGCATTTGTGATTGCAATTGCAATTTATTTAGTATCTTCTCCCAGTAGCAAGTGCTCTAGAAGGTTGCAATTACGAAACACAAAATGATAATAAGATAGCATACAATATAGAAGATTTGTGTATCGTTTTCAAGTCTTGAGAAAATTGTGGAACCATTTTGCTGAGTTTTTCGGCTCTCTCGTCAAATTATTCTTGAAATCAACGTAAGTGAGACCAAAGCGCATAGTGTATCCACTCGCCCATTCAAAATTGTCTAATAATGACCATGCAAAATAGCCACCAACCCTTACACCATCCCTACATCATTTTTCAAAATATAACATAATTACAATCTCAAAGAGTAGGAAAAGACATTTCACTAAAATATCATAATTAAAAACAAGTAATTAATAGCTTAATCTTTTGCTGTGTTACTTACTTCAATGCTTTATGAATATAATAGAGATGGTCATGAATATATTTGACTCTACCCTCGTCTCTTATTAAATCTTCAACATTCGGGCTATCATAGTCGAGGTATCCTGCCATGGTAAAGTTTAATTAATAAGCAAGCTAATTAAACATATAATTAAATTATAAACTTTTTTTCCATACCATTTTCCGTAATATAAATAATTGGATTGTGATAATTTTTCTTTATATATAACAACAAGTCTTCTATTCCTTTGGGATAAACAGCTAGCCAAGATGATGGACTCACCTACGCAATTCACAAATAGCAAATTATTGGATTTAAATAGGCATAAAATGAATTTAAACTTCAAAATAACAATTTGAAACACTATTATTGTTATAATTGTTGGAACGAAATTCGAACGCTATTACCTTTGGACCAATGGAGACTCCATCACGATCAGCTACAATGCAAAGATATTATATAAAAATTCAAATCATAGAATAGATATGTGATATGAGAAAGAAATGCTAATCAAGTATAGATGAACTAAAAAGTATATTTGAAAGAGTGCATACTTGAAAGAGTTGCATGAATATCATTCAAATAGCTTGGTTCTGGGTGAACATCATTGGGATTATCTTTTGCATAATTGGCTGTGTAATAGTTTAATCCAAGAAAATCAAAGGAGTTTGTGATGAGAGTGCGTTCTTCGTCTGTGAATTTGGGCAATCTATTCCCCACAGCCAACATGTTCACCGGATAATCTCCATAAACGAGTGGATGCAACATCCTAAATGCATTTAATTATTTGGTCATATATTTGCAACAAAATGTTGAGTTCTTAGAGATATTAATTTACTTACCAACCAAGCGAAAAATCATAAGCTCGATCTCTAGCTTTGTTGTCTTCCTCAGAATCTGAATATGGTACGTACCATGTTGATGTCAATGTGATGCCAATCTCGCCCTTTTGGTCTGCCTAAGAGTACCATTCAATGTAAATATGCATAAACATTAGCTCCCAACTTAAACTTTATTAAACAACAAAAGAGAACCTGATATTTGGTCTTGTAAAGATTGGCAGCAGCAGCGTGTGCAAGAATTAGGTTGTGACCAACAATGTATGGTTCGGTGCCAGAATTACCACCAAGATAGCGACTTGGATCCCATTCAGCACCTCTACCGGGTGCGTATTCCCCAATTACATAACCTTTGCATGTGAACATGACTGGTTCATTTAAAGTTATCCAATGTTTCACTTTTTCTCCAAACTCCTTGAAACAAAACTCGGCGAAGTCTCGAAAATCATCACTGCAAGTAATTTGCACCATTATTTTTATGTCTTTCAAAACATTTCACTTTTTCTTGATGCAAATTTATTGAATACCGTTCTCATTCAAAGTTTTGTTTTACGAAGAGCACAAGCTTACCATTAGTAGATATGATCTTTTACGGTTCGTTAGTTATTGTCGTCAGCCTCACGATTTTAAAACATATCTATTAGGGAGAGGATTCCACGCATTCTAAGAAATGTTTTGGTCCCCTCTCCAACCAATGTGGGACCTCGCAATCCACCCTTCTTGAGGACCAGCATCCTCACTAGCACACTGCTCAGTGTCTAACTCTAATATTATCTGTAATAGCCTAAGCTCTAATAGATATTGTCCACTTCGGCCCATTATGTATCCCTGTCAGGCTTACGGTTTTAAAACACGTATACTAGAAAGAGGTTTTCAGACCTTATAAGAAATGCTTGTTCCCCTTTCCGACTAATGTGGGATAGGAACAAAGCATTCCTTATAAGAGTGTAGAAAGCTCTTCTTAATAGACACGTTTTAAAACTTTGAGGGGAAGTGTTGAGGGAAAAGTCTAAAAAAGACAATATCGGCTAGCGGTGGGCTTGAGTTGTTACAAACATTGTGAGATCCACATCGGTTGGAAAGGTGAACTAAACGTTATTTATAAGCGTGGGAAAACCTCTCCCTATCAGACACTTTTTAAAAATCTTAAGGAGTAAAAATCTTAAGGAGAACTCGAAAAAAAAAGCCGAAAGAGAACAGATCGAACTTTTCTCCAAATTCTTACAAGTCCAAAATCAAATTTGTTTATGAATGAAAAAAAAGCAATTGTTACTAAAGACCTTATTTATTTTTGGTAATAAACAAGACTAAAAAAGTATTTCCTACAATATTAATTTAATTTGAATACTTTTAGTGAATGTGTCATTAGATTATGTAAATCAATTAGCATTAATGATATGATAATTTAAACCTCTTAGTCAAACAAACAAACAAAAAAAAAGAATAATTAAAGCCTACATATAAATAATTTAGTCCCTAAAGAGCCCATGTTGCTATCACTTATTTAGTACTAATAATTGATACTCCTATATGGAGAGAATATGATAATGGTATAGAAATTTACTTACACAATTTGACTATTCAAGAAGCCACCATATTCGGTTTCTAAATCTTGAGGAACATCCCAATGAAATAGTGTGACATAAGGTTTGATCTCTACAGATGAAAACACACAGCCACATGATTAGTTGACTCATTTTGAGATTAATAAAACTTGCTTAACATAATCAATGAGATTAATCACTAATAACCCACTATTTGCACGCAGTTCATCGATGAGACTATGGTAGTAATCAATTCCTTGTTGATTCACACCCCCAGAAAGCTTTCCAGCTGAAATTCAACAACAACATTAATGTTCATAAAATTAAGCTTAGAAAATATTAATTAAAATAGAATTGTTCATCTCTAAGTTCTTACTTGGAAAAATTCTAGACCAAGCGATTGAGAATCGATAAACGTTAAAACCTATTTTGTTCATGATGCCAACGTCTTCCTGCATTGTAAACAATTATGGGATTTGATTAAGATTTATATATCTATAGTTTGAAGAGTTATGGGATTTGTTTGTTCTCATTTTAGTCACCTTATAGCGATGATACTCATCAACAGCTATATCTCCATTTTTGTGATCAGCAATTCTCTCTGAAATTTAACAAATAAACAACATTGAGATCCATAATTATTTGTGGAATTCAACAAAATAAGCAACATTGAGAGAGACATGCCTGGGTGTTCGTGGGTGTAGGTATCCCAAATACTTGGCCCTTTGCCATACTTAAAGGCAGCCCCTTCATACTGAACAAGCCATAACAAATCAATACTCATTCTTTGATCTTAATTTATTATTATTTGTATATGTAACGGTCTAAGCACACTGCTAGTAGATATTGTTCTCTTTGGGTTTTCCTTTTCGGGCTTTCCCTTAAGGCTTTAAAACACGTCTACTAGGGTAAGGTTTCCACACCTTTATAAAAGGTGTTTTGTTCTCCTCTCCAACCAACGTGGGACATTATAGTCTATGCAACTTTTACTTAACCTGGTAAGCTGAAGATGCTGCTCCAAATACAAAGTCTTCAGGAAAGCTGCTTCGTCTTATTATGGCGACTGGCTGACTACTGCTATCGATAACTGCAAACACATGAAGCACAAAGTTTAGGGAATAACACAATTGTAACGGCCTAAGCTCACCGCTACTAGATATTGTCTTTTTTGAACTTTCTCTTTTGAGGGCTTTCCCTTTCGAGCTTTTCTTCAAAGTTTTTAAAATGTGTTTGCTTGGGAGAGGTTTCCAGATCCTGTTGATGATTGTCGGGAGGTAGTCTCACATTGGCTAATTTAGGGAATGATCATGGGTTTATAAGTAAGGAATACATCTTCATTGGTTGAGGCCTTTTGGGAAAACGCCAAAAGCAAAATGAGAGCTTATGCTCAAAGTGGACAATATCATACTATTGTGGAGATTTGTGATTCCTAACACATCTTTATAAAGAATGTTTCGTTCTCCTCTCCAATTAACATGAGATCTCAAATATGATGTAGCGATGGACTACGAACAAAAATAAAAGAAAGTAATTCACTTACCGCTAGCCATTGAGCTTCAAGAGGAGCAAGGGTTTGAGTGCTTAGATCTTGGAGAGTGTTTGAGATAAAAGGTTTTTTTTGTTCTTAATGGACTCAAGCCTGTCGTTCCCTCCTTTTTATAAGGTTCAAAGTCAACACATTTATGAATTTGTGGTCCTTTTTTTTTTTTTTTTTTACTTATTTGTTTTGTTTCTACTCGTTTTTCTAATGTTTTATGCATATTCTAACTTGGTCGGCTGATATGAACTCTGGAATGTTATTTTAATGTTCACATGGAGCTTATCTCGGTTATTGAGTTCACAACGTTCAAATAATCTATCTATTCCCTTTAAACTATTGCATCCCGTCATTTTAAATTATATATATATAGGTGATGCATGACCTCGTAATCATAATCGTTTCAATCCTATCAATCAATACAGTTCTCTAAAGAATAGTTGACAACTTTCTAATAGGTTCCATATAGCACAATAATCATAATCTTGAGAGAGTAACTCTCGTGTCCACCAACTACTACGACACTATATATGAAAACGTGTCCATCCTAGGTAGTTCTATAGGATAGTTGAAGATCTTTCTTTTAATAGTCCCCACATGCTATAAACACAGGTTTCTATCGTTTTTCTACCTTACCGTGGTTAATCAATATAAATAGCCACCATAATTCTTTTTTCAATTTCATTTCGAAAATAATCTAGATATTACACCGTTACCAATTAAAATAAATGTTATATTCTATATCATACTTTTAATACTATTATTAATTTGTAATTGGTATGCGCTTAATCTTAAATTGGGAGATGGAATCTATAATATTTTACAAAAAGTAATTATTATTTTTATTAGATGTCTAGATAAAATATTCCTATATAGACATAATGTCCACGTGATAATAATATTTATTTTTCTTGTGGATCGTGTTCAGACTTTAATAATAATATTTATTTGTCTCGTGGATCGCATTCAAACTTTAATAATAATATTTATATCTCATTTAGATTGTGTTGAATTTAACCAAAATGGGCACGTACCATGTTCAAACTTCAACCAATTTTGGTTTTATATCATATTATATGACCCCATATTTCCATCACAATGTTTTAGTCAAACCATGTGGGTTCTTCTTGTCGTTCATGATCAAGAGAAAGACAAGATTAGAGAGAAAAAAACAACAAAATATGAGCATCTCAATAAAGACAACCATATCTGCCGGCTAAAAAATATTTCAACCACCTGTTTCCCAACCATTTTAAATGTTCATACCTGACATAATTAGTCAAAAGTGTGACTCACATCTATCTCAGCTCCTATAATTTCGCAGCTTACGAACACACTTTTTTAGGCTGTACCAACACACTTTTTTAGGCTGTACCATTTATGTTTCATCACTTGACTTAGTATAATGACTTACTTGTAAGCTCTTAAAATCTTTAGAAGGGTTAATGACTTACTTGTAAGCTCTTAAAATCTTTAGAAGGGTTGTGTGATTCGTGTACATTATATAGTTCTTAAATCTTATATTATGTATCTAAATCATAAATTCTAGCATTCAAATTCAACCAGCTTATCCAAGCTTTAACGTGAAGTTCCATAATTTCATAATTTTTAATAATTTACCTCTTCAAATAATAATAATAATAATAATAATAATTAAATAATAAAAATAATAATTTTCCCAAAACTACTCTCCATCAGTCCTCTTCCTCTCCCAACTATCTCTCTTCAACCAACTCCTTAGTCAAAATTCAAATAGGGAGACCATATGTTGGAGGTTTAATGGGAGAGATGGAGATTTAATTGGAGAGAGATCTTGCTTTGTCATTACCTAAAGTCTTTTTTTCGGATCTTCTTTTCATATATCCATGTTACAAGAAATCATGTCGAATCAGATTTCCTTTTCCTTTATTTAACTATTCAGAACTAGATCTATTGCCCATTTATTTAGATTTTAATTAGTATGTTAGGTTATAGAAATAACTAAATCAACACAAAATTAAAAAAATAATAATAATAAATACAAAACTGAGAAAAAAAAAAGAAAAATAGGAAGTAAATACACAATAAAATGGAAGATTTGGTAAAAAAAAAATTAGCAATGTAAATACAGAGAAAATGAAAAAGTTTAACAAAGAAAAGAAAGATTTGTGAAAAAACAGATGAAATAGAGAGAAGTAAAAAAAAAAAAAAAAAAAGGGGAATATAGTATGGATTATTGTGCAATTCAAAAATCTTTTAAAATTAAGATAATTGTGAACATCATTAAAACAAAAAGGAAAGGGAAACACTTAGTAAGAGGAAAAAAAAATATAGTTAAAAGAGTTTTAAATGGATGGCAGGAAAATGAAATTATAAGGAATATAAGTAAATATTTAAAACTTTATTCATACAAAACCTCTAATGTTTGTATGGTGTTTAACATATGGGTCAATGTAAATTAGAGAAATAATTTTATAGAAGTTCGAACTTGAAGCTGATGTCATGAACTCACATAAGTTGACTTGGATTTCAAAGGACAAAATCAAACTTTATAAATTCGTGACAACAACTTAAACTAATCAGGTAAGTGACCTTACTATAGGATAGACTAAAATTTTTATGAATTATGATGATGTATGAACTGTGTTGTACGATGTCGTATACTAGTATATGATGATGTACGAGTGTATGATGATGTATGAGTTATAATGCTTGATGATGTGCGTAGTATTATATTTCGATGAATGACGTACTTGATATGTTTGATGCACTTAATGGCAATATGATGAGTATGATGATTGTGTGACGTTTACCTTAACATGATGATGTTTTCCATCTAGAGTATGCTATAGGATGATGAGTTCCATATTGCATCAGGTTGTTAGATCGTCATAGGACAATAATACAAATATTCACGAATATGTGTTACCTAGAGTAACAAAGAGATGAGATTAGAGGGTTGTGTCAGAAGAGACATGATGATGAATTTAGAGGGACCTCATGCATATTGTCTGTTCATAAGCATAGGGCTACTTCTCCTAGAGATGACGAGTGCGGACACGCATAGTATAATAATGAGTGCGAATGCGCACAGTGAGGATGTTCATGAGGCGCATGACACTAATGGGGTTCCGCTGACCTCCGGACGTCGCTGCAGACTAGCTTGCCCAGAGGGTCCAGGGGGTGTGCGAGTGCCTTGGGGATTCACACTCGCACGTGTGAATCGTGTGTAGGAAAGTACTACACATTCAATTTGTACGAGATGGAAGGCCACCCTTAAGATGATTAGAGATAGGTCCCTAAATCATGATTGTATGTGTTTGCATTTGCATGGCCCCCTATAGTGGGCCACTTACTGAGTATTCTTCGAAATACTCAGGTCGTTTGTCACATCATTTTTTCAGGTAAAGGCAAGGCGCACTTGTACAGAGGACGGTGGCATCGCAAGCAGAGACTGTGGCACGTGCATAGGGTAAACTCATATTTAAATTTCTAGTCCTGGGTTAGAATAGGTTGTTTTGCATTTCATTGTTTTAAATTATTTTGTGTTTGTTTTTATTTTCTCTATATTTCAGTATTTTCGTATTTAAATACGTAAGACCATGGCTGTGTTTTCCAGAGAAGAAGTTGTTTTAAGCGTTTCTCGAAGTTTACGTTATAAATGGTGTTAATGTAAGAGTTATATTTTCGCATTATAGATGAGCATGAGACGTTAGTAGCGACTCTGAGTATATGGAAATTTAGGGTCGTTACAAACAACCTGATTTTTCTATTAAAAATAAGGTCCTTACTACATGCATGACATGATTGTTAAATGTGAAAATGTTCATTTAAAATAATTTCAAACGATGTCATGGACATAAACGTTCAAAGTAAAACCATAAAAAAAAAAATAATAAAGCAGAAAATAATGCTACGAAACGAAATGGAAAAACAAATAAGTGGCCTACTCTAACCTAAGGGCTACAAAAAGACATAACACAATTACTCTAACACTAGTTTCATAGCCTTCATTGCGACACCGCCGTCATCCATACAAAGGTGCCTTACCTTTACCTGAAATGTAAGAGTAGCACATGACTTGAGAATTTTAAGAAATACTCAATAAGTAACTCCACTATTAGGGTTAGAAAATGCAAACACATGTAATATGGTAGATATATCCTTTTAACATATCATAGCATGACCTTAGGCAGCTTTTCAGTCCGGACAAGGCTGGATGTATAATACTTCTCTACATATGGCCAATGCGTGCAAGCATGCACCCACTAAGTGGGCTCACACACCCCCTAGGCCTGGTTCATTGAACTAGCACTTGCTAACGGTCTCTTCTCGAACACCACTGAGGGAAATGACCCACATAGCATCATGGCGAACATAAATATCATAAATCATCAGTCGTAATGGTACGTGTTCGGACTCATCATAATGGGGAAGTATTCTGATGCACGTGACACCCAAATATGCATGAGGTCCCCATAAATTATTATTCGGACATAATTTATGATGCAAGACAAACCTCCATTCTTTTTTAACATAATAAGTCTGTAAATTACACATACATAATTCATTTACATTCTTTTATATAACTTTTCGTGGCATGGTCTTTGGAGGTTCATGCATCACAAAATATCAATCTCATAACAATTCTATGCTACATGACATGGTAACATCATAACATAGCATTTAAACATGATATAACTTGTCATAGTATAACATAGCATGTCATGACAATACATAGGATGACATAACATAAAAACATAATTATGACGTGTGCATGGGTTACCGGGCACACATCATCATACATAATACAATTATTCTATAGTAGAGCCACTTAATTGGTTGGCCTATGCCAAAATTACTACTCCTTTGAAGCTAGCTTAATGTTACTCCTTAAAATTTAATTCTACATCAGGAGTCCCAACATCGTAACTTAAAATTCTACTATTTAAATTGACTCACCTAATTTTGCATAAAAGAATTTAAACTTAAGTCCAAATGATTTAAATGAAACTAGTAAGGAGGGTTCTGAGTGTATTAGACCCAACTTGGATTAGCTGAGAAACTGACCTAGAGCCGTCAGAAAATGTATTCTCTGACTAGCTTCGAACTACTCAAGTGGGATGAAATGGAGCAATATGTACTTATTATTCTGTGACTGGTGTCCATCGAACACAACTTGGGATAAATCCAAGCTTGTTCAACCACACACGTTGCCTCTACGTGCATGTTCAATCTTCTACGACCCAAATGAGTTGCCTCTACTCAAAGCCAAAGTCTCTCAATACAACGTCGTATCTCATCTTAATTTCTAATTGACAATCCCACCATGTCTTGATGTCACTCCAAGTCCCGAGATGTCATTGGCCATCATAGATCGTCCAGTCATGTCATCGAGAATAGACCCATGTGTCATTCATATAATGGGGATATCCCAAACACCGATTTGTCCGAGTTATATCGAGGCATTGGACCCTTCCATGTCCATACTAGTTCATTTTCGAAATTCGTTTCAGATAGTAAGTACATAACCAACCTTCGATAGATGGGCGGGGGCGTAACGTCGATACACCCGTGCAGTCCGACACTATCCTTGAAAGACCCATTTCAAAGGATGTCACAAAGATACTCATTTCGCAACGCTCACCCCTCACTATGACACACATATGTAACATAGGGTAACTCGCTTAGGCCACATCGTCCAAGAGTGGTGGAAAGTTGACACCATGTCTCTTCCAAGATATATTTCAATGCATTTTTTGGTATGATAGGTAAAGACGTGATTTTGACGAACAGACATACGATATCATGGAGCATTCATTCGGTGTCCAATTGACACCAAATTTAGCAAGCATTCATATTTCATATACATAGACTTACATTATAACCACATAACTCCAACTTTCGAGGTTAAGGCCGAAAGCCGTACCCGAATCTTCAACAAGCCTATCTTTGGCATCCTATCGATATCGTTGTCTCTATCTTACCTATGTGAATGAATGTTTGGTGACGAAAGAAGACATAGCAAGGACTTAAGTAGGAAAGAGGAGGCACTTGGGATCCCTTTTCTAATTTTCTCTTTTTTATCTCTCCATCTGTGGAGGGTTTTGTTTGTTTGTGTTGTGAATTTGGGATCCAAATTTGTGAATCGGGGCTGACAATCTGGACAAGACCATTGACTGCTACGTTGTACAACTGGGGTCCACATTCACGTGATCTGTTAATTTAAATGAACGGCTCTAAAGTTTCTCAAATCCCAACCGTCCATTCACTTTACCCTTAGTTTTTTTTTACGTCATCATCTTTAATCACAGCCATTCAGTCTTTCAACTATCCACAACCATAAAACAGGATTTATCCAATGCCATTTCATAATTAATTAATTACTTTTTATTTTTAATTAATGTGCAACACAATTTCTCCTCCCACTGAATTAATAAAAAAGTAATTCAAAAACATTTTTTTAATTTTTATTAATACCCAACTTTTTTATAAATTTTAAAAAATATCTTTATTTTTTAAAAAAAAAATCGCCGTGACTATCGTATCTAAAAAATACTCTAAGCTTTCAAAATTATAATTAAAAAATTTAGATATAATTTATGAGGTGTCACTACATTATTTCCGTCCTTATATTAATGGTAAATATTTTTTAAATATTTTTTTATAATAATAAAAGATATTAATACTACTTTTAAAATTTTATACATATTTTTTTAAATATAATTTTTTAAGATTTAAATGTATTTTGAAACAAATTTAGGAATATTTTTATTAATTCAGTCTAAATTTTTATCTATTTTTTTACCAATGTTTTTAAAATTTAAATTAAATTTTTTTACACCATATTAATAAATAGTTGATGTCGTTCATGTTTTATATTTATATGTTCTTATAGACGTCGACCCTCTATATGTATTCATTAGACTCAATCGCATTAAATTCAACCGCTTTGAAATAGTTTTAATATTAATTTGTCCAATTTAATTATTGAAATCTTTCTTTATGAATAATTTAACTAGGTTTTAATGTTCCATTTTTGTACCTGGGCGTTCAATTTTAAGAAGGAATAGACGTAAAAGACATAAACTAAGAAAATAATAACGCTATTCGTTTTTTCTTTCGTCTAAAAACTATAATATATTTAGAAATAAAATACTATATATATATATAAACAAAATTTGTTCTTTTCAAATTTATATATAATTCTTACCCAAATAATAATATTTTTATGTGTTCATTATATCCAAAATTAAAATAATAGAATTATATTTAAAAGAATAAAAGAACTTTAATTAATATAGTTTTTTTATGTTATAAACTTTGCATTAAAAATATAACATAGTGTAAAATTTGTAATATAAAATTGGTTCATAAATTCATATTCAACCCAATGCTAGGTTGTATACTACTTTGAACAACGGCTTAACTTTGGATCTAATTTTTAAATTTGCTATCCAACACGTATCTCAAAATATGAAATATAATTTCATTTCATTGAATATCTTATTTTAAAATTTTTGTTTTCAGATAATCAAGAAAGGAAAAACTTACAAGAGTGAAGAAAACTCTCCTTAGTAGTACTTTTAAAATCGTGAGACTGATGATGAAACTACTAACAAGCCAAGCGAACAATATTTATTAGCGCTTGTTAGATGAACACGACTCTCTACAATGGTATGATATTATCCACTTTGACCATAAGCTCTCGTGGCTTTGCTTTGGGCTTCTCCAAAAGTCCTCATACCAATGGAGAGAGTATTCTTTGATCATAAACCCATGATCATTCCTTAAATTAGCCGATGTAAGACTTTTATCGTCTAACACCTTCCTTCGAACAAAGTACGTCTCCCCTTAATCGAGGCTCGACTTCTTTTTCTTTTGGAGTCTTAGCCATTTTTTACTATGCCTTCGAGAAGGCTCAGCTCCTTTTCTTTTGGAATTCTTTGTTCGACATTTGAGGATTTACCAATCTATTGGCACAACTAAGTTTAGGGCATGACTCTGGTACCATGTTAGATGAACACGACTCTCCACAATGGTATGATATTGTCCACTTTGAGCATAAGCTCTCATGGCATTGCTTTGGGTTTCCCAAAAGGCCTCGTACCAATGGAGAGAGTATTCTTTGATCATAAACTCATGATTATTCTCTAAATTAGTTAATGTGGGACTTTCATCATCCAACCGCGCTGAGCTTGGTAAATTACAAATGATATCAGAGTCAGACGTCGGGCTATATTTCAACAAAGATGATATGCCCTCTTGGGTGTAAAAACGTTTCTTTAACAGACTTGTGGATAGGTTTGAATGGGTTGGATCAAAACTCTCTCCCAAGGTCTCTATATAAAGCTAGTTAGAGAGTAGTGGAAGTCTCAGCTATCAAACCAAAACCCATTGATAATCATGGCTTCCAAACATACCTCAAATCTCCTCTCTCTTGTTTGTATGCTTGTCATTGTAGTGGTCTCAAAGGCCACCGTTGAGCCAACCCATCCCATCGATGCTGTAAGGCGAAGCAGCTTTCCTGAAGGCTTTGTTTTTGGTTCATCGTCCGCTGCTTACCAGGTGAGCCAGTTTTCATTTTGGATACTCCAAATGCATGGACATTGATGACATGTTGTTTCTTTATAATCTTTGTTCAGTATGAAGGTGCTGCTTTTAAGTATGGAAAAGGTCCAAGTATTTGGGATACCTACACTCACCAACATCCAGGTTCTTTCTCTCTCTCTTTCAAAATATTCTCTCTAAAAGATATTAAAAAAATTAAGTTACATTGTTTTTGAGAAACTATAGAGAGAATCGCCGATCGTAGTAACGGAGATATAGCTACTGATTCATACCATCGTTACAAGGTTAGTTCAACAACACAACTCAATAAATCTAGCTTGATCTTCAAACGTGTTTCTCCACATACAAAATATAACATCTCTTAACTTTTATTATGATGTATTACAGGAAGATGTTGCCATTATGAAACAGATAGGTTTTAATGTCTATCGATTCTCAATTTCTTGGCCTAGAATTTTGCCAAGTAAGAAATTTTATCAACCTTTTACTAATTATTTAAACACACTATTTAGGCTTTGTTTTTGTAATTCTTATAAGAGTGTGGAAACCTCCATTTAACAAACGTGTTTTAAAACCGTGAAACTGAAGAAGATAACATGTCAAAGTGAAAAATATCTGTTAGTGGTGAGTTTGAGCTGATACAATTACACCCATCAGTTGTTTTTATGAGTCGTATTTTAATATATTTTATAAAACTACATCAATAAGATCTAAAATAGTGACTTAATTACATTTGTTATTAAAATAATAATCCTCATTTATTGATGTAGAGGGAAAACTTAGTGGTGGGGTGAACAAGGAAGGAATTGAGTACTACAACAATCTCATCAATGAGCTCCTTGCCCATGGTTGGTATTATCACAATATTTGGTTAAATCTTATTGATTCTTTGAAACATTTTGATGAAATTTAGTCAACATATTTCATTTGTAGGCATTAAACCCTATGTCACACTTTTCCATTGGGATCTTCCTCAAGCTTTACAAGATGAATATCAAGGGTTTCTAAGTCATCGAGTTATGTGAGTAACTCACTTATTTTGATTTCTTCTAAAACAAAAAATGTCAAAACGACATTGTTAATAAATAATTTTCATGAATATGAACATAGCTCAGTAATATTGATGGTAGAAATTTATTGCAGAAATGATTTTCGAGATTATGTTGACATTTGCTTCAAGGAGTTTGGAGATAGAGTGAAGCATTGGATCACCTTAAATGAACAATACATCTTCATTACAAGTGGTTATGTGTTTGGAAATTTTGCGCCGGGGAGATGCTCTTCTTGGCAACCATTTAATTGCGTTGGTGGAGATTCTGCGACTGAACCATACATTGTTGGTCACAACCAAATTCTATCTCATGCTACCGCTGTTAAAGTTTACAAGACTAAATATCAGGTTATCTCCTAATTACTATAATAGTTTTGAGATCCCACGTTGGTTGGAGAGGGAAACAAAACATTCTTTATAAGAACGTAGAAACCTCTCTCTAGTAGAAATATTTTAAAACCATGAAACTGACGACAATATGTAATGAGTCAAAGCGGACAATATCTATTAGCAATGGGTTTGAGCTGTTATAAATGGTATCAGAGCCAAATATCGAGCGGTGTGCCAGCGAAGACGCTAGCCCCCAAAGGGTTAGATTGTGAAATCCCACGTCGGTTGGAGAGGGGAATGAAACGTTCCTTATAGGGGTGTGAAAACCTCTTCATAATAGACTCATTTTAAAGTCGTGAGGCTGATGACGATATGTAACGAGCCAAAACAGATAATATCTGCTAGTACATATCCATTTTATTAAGTTGAACTTTAAACATATTAACATGTAGGCACACCAAAAAGGTGAAATTGGCGTCACATTGTTTTCGAATTGGTTTGTCCCATATTCCGATGCTAAAGCAGACAAAGAAGCTACAAGTCGAGCTCTTGATTTTTCTCTTGGTTGGTAAGTAAATTGATACATAGTACTACCTTGAAGTTTCCAAAAAAACAAAACAAATTATATCCAAGTTCCCAAATTAATTAATTGAGTAATATTGTAGGTTCTTGCATCCTCTCGTGTATGGAGATTATCCACCAAGCATGAGAACTCTTGTAAAGGAGAGATTGCCCAAATTCACAAACGACGAAAGAATTTTGATCACAAATTCTTATGATTTTATTGGCATAAACTACTATACAGCTAATTATGCCAAAGACGATTCGAATGCAACTAGTTCGAACTCGAGCTATTGGACCGATTTTCGCGCCACTCTTTCAAGTATGAGCTTAATTAAGTTACCGTACTTTTTAAACTTTCTAATAGTTCACTCCATTTCAAATAAAAATGGATGAACTCTTTCTAAAATAACCTAAAAAGTATAGTAAACCATTTTTCCTCATGACTTTGTGTAATAATGGGTTGGTATTGTAGGTGACCGTAATGGAGTCTCAATTGGTCCAAAGGTAATCATTTAATACTTCCCTTCAATAATGCATTTTTAACTATATTGATTTCTCAATGATTACTCTAAATGTGTTATCTACACATTTACAGGTGAATGCATCGTCTTGGCTTGCTGCTTATCCAGCAGGATTAAAAAATTTGATGATCTATATAAAGAACGTTTACAAAAATCCGGTTATCTACATCACAGAAAATGGTATAAAAATCACATTTTACATTAGCTTGAAGATAAAAAGGAAAAAAAAAAAAACGTATCTACTTACTTTATTCATGAATCAAATTATGCATTTCAGGATCTCTCGACTTTAATAGCGTCAAAGTTGACGAACTAATTAAAGATGTCGTTCGAGTAAAATACTTTCATGACCATCTCAAGAATCTACACGAAGCAATCAAGTAAGTAAATAGAGATGAAATAATACATTTTTAGAATTATGTTTGGCCCTAACTCCTATTTTGAATGATGTTGTAGGGCTGGTGTAAGAGTGAAGGGATACTTTGCATGGTCACTATTGGACGTTTTTGAATGGTCGAGTGGATTTACCATACGCTTTGGTGTCGTCTACGTTGATTACAAGAACGGCTTGAAGAGAATCCCTAAAGACTCAGCAAAGTGGTTTCGCAATTTCCTAAGCACCTAAATATGCTCTCTTCTATCATGTTATGATGTTGGTTTGTCATGCAATCTTAATTATGCGTCGAACTTCTTATCTTTCTGTTTTGTGTTCGATATCAATAATTGAAGTGAACTCTTTTTATGTATGTTTCTATGATCAAATTATCTTATCTTATATTTGTTGTGTTACATAAATCAATTTTGTTTTCTTAAACTTTGTGGATAGTAATATCAGACCTCGTCCGAATATGTCATATGAGAAAGAAATGCTAATAAAAAATAAATGAATTGAAAAGTATATTTGGGATATCTTTTGAGAATTGTACTCCAAGTTAAACACTTTTTTATTAAAAAATAAAAATATGTTAGAATATTAGACAACAACATATTGGTGATTCAGATTAAAAATTGAGACTCTATCGAAGACGGGATGTGCTTTCATCCTTTGTGAATGTGGGCAATCCCTTATCCACCTAAGTTCTCAGCTTTAGTAGATAATCTCCACAAACAATTGGATGTAAGAGTCGTAATGCATCTAATTCGATCATATTTGTAAGAAAAGTTTAGAAAGAAGTAGATTGTTTTGGTCTGTGGATTGTTGATCTCGTTTATGAATTCATCGATCTTTTCAACTATGTGTAATGGTCATGTGAATATATTTTGGATTTACAACGTTATCTAATTATCTTTGTATTATTGATTCTTCACTTAGTTATTCAACTAATAATGTATCACATGTGTGACTAAAGACGAGGCCATTACCTATGCATATTGATACAAATGCTATACTATTTACTTAAACAAAAAGTAAAGTATTGGTATATAACGTTAAGATGGTTGGTTATTTATAGGAAATTAAAGATGATAAAAGACTAATATTATAAAGTCCGTAGGTGATATCGCCCCCAGACATTCAGCCTCATTCCAAATAGTGAATAATAACTTATCTAATAGATTATGAAATTTTAGTTATAAATATAGAAGTCATGGAATTTAATGTTTTCTAGTATTTCAGGTGTGTTTATATAGTTAAAAATGAGGATTTGAATTAAATTTTATTAAAATATAATTATTAAAAGATATTTAAATATTAAAAGAAGTTTATACCACCAAAAAGGAAGGTTATCAAAAGTTATTTGGATAATTATAACGATTATAAATAAATAAACAACTTTATAGAGCATAAAGCTATAAATACCGTATTATCGCATTAAAAATATTATTATAAGTTAAAAGATAATACGATATTTTAACTCTATTATAGTTTTAATAAAACATAAAAAAATGTTTTCATAGCAGCGTATATAATCTAAATTTCGTCATCTATTATAGCATCTATTATAGGTATAAAAAAATACTATAAAAAGTTTCAAACTTTTAATAATATAGACTGACACGACGGATAAAAAATGTTATAAAACATCTACATTATCTGGGTGCCACATAAAAATAAAAAACAATTTTAAGTATTCTTTTAAATAAATTGCAAAATTTAAGATGAGGAATTTTTTTTTTTTTTAAGATAGAATAAAAAAATAAAAAAAATCTCATGATTATTTGAGATTTTTGAGCTTGGTTTAGTAGCTCATTACTTAAACTTACCATCGTACCTCTAGACACTTCACAATGTGGATCATATTTTTATGTTGTAGAAGTATGTGAAAGATCCATCACATATAGTTGATTAAGAATCATTATATTTGGACTAGAGTTTAAAGTTATATAGAGAGTACCATAAAAATTATTGCAAGAGATCTGAAGAACGAGATAGTGTTGTTAAGGTTCTTTGGCAAATCATTAGTGGAAGGACGCAACATGTGAGGAAGTGTATGAGATGATAGTTAAGAATCATGTGCTTTTTCAAAAATTTGAGCACGAAAGTCTTTAAGGAGAGGATTGTAATAATCGAGAGAAAACGTGACTATTTAAGGTATGTTGCACACTATCCTAAGTATCAACCTTAGCTTGCATTCTAGCAGCACCACCAAGTCATCTCCACAACAATCGCTCACCAATTTGAATCCTTCTTCCTGCTTCATCTCTCCCTCTCGCTGATCCACTCCCCTTGTTGAAGAGAAAACATGCATCACGATGCTTCTTTAACGTTCATCACATGCAGCACCAACACCGATCATTTTTGTCATACTACCGTTCATGACCTTTGACCCCCGTTTGCATACGCTTGAACCGACTAGTGATTGTAAGCCTATTATTGAGAATTATTGGAAGGAGTACTCCTGCATTAGCTAATTAAGGAGAAGATCATGAGTTTATAAGTAAGGAATACTAACTCAATTGATTGGAGACCTTTTGGAGAAACCAAAATCAAAACCATGTAAGCTTACATTCAAAGTGGATAATATTATACCATTGTGAAGATATTAGAGTTATGTCCTTAACCTTAACCATGTTAATAAAATCTTCAAGTATCGAACAAAGAAGTTGTGAGTCTTGAAGGTGTAGTCAAAAGTGACTCAACTGTCGAACAAAAGGTGTACTTTGTTCAAGGGCTCCAAAGAAAAAGAGAGAATAAATCGAGTCTTGATTAAAAGGAGTCTATTCGAGGGCTCAAAATTGACTAATAGTCTTTGCAGTGTACTCTATTCAACGGGAGGATTGTTTAGGTTTATTGGAAGGAGTAGTACCACGTTGGCTATAAGGGAAAGATTATGGATTTATAAATATGGAATATTATCTTCCATACGAGGTTTTTGGAGAAACCAAAAACAAAATCACAAGAGATTATGCATACAGTAGACAATATCATACCATCGTGGAGCGTCATGATTTTTAACACCTATCTCGATTTCTCTCTCATCTTTTATCGATTTCCTCTGTATTTCAACTTTCACGACAGAGTGCTAATTTTCATCGGTTGTAGACAAAATATGTATATAGTAACGGTTCCTGTGAGTATGTAGGACTATTACAATTTTCCTCTCTAATCAACGCCTTTCACTACTGACACATTGGAGCATTGTGGACCATTTGTGAGTCACTTTGGGCAAAGCCCTGATCACCTATTCACGGGTTGCTCCTTTGAATTCACGGGATGTCTTGCCCAGTAGCACTTCCAGGTCCCTTTTCACACATCTTTGGTCCTATCATTGGACATAACGGCGATTCTAAAGGCATTTCCATATTTGCTTTAAAGTGAATCGTTCTCCATCTCATCGAATCCGAATGTGTGGAAGTAATCCGTTCTCTAATCGGGAGGATGAGAATTTGCTGCCAATCAATTGTTAACGACGAACATGCTTTGCTTAGCTCGCTTGTAGGGTGTGCGTGGTTTTCGTTACATATGTAGGTTACAAACTTGTGTTGTTGATGGCAATGCAAGTACGGTCATTCTTGAGTCTATCTTCTCTACGATTTGTGGGTAAGTAAAGAATACTATCTTTGTATGAGGTCTTTTGAGGAGGTTGTTCAATCTTTTTGTATTGGGTTGAGGTGCGATCTCGTCATATCTCATATCTCATAGGACAATATGACAACTTCTCATCTTAACATGTAAGCTTAATTGGCAACCCCTTGGTAGGGGCGCTATTATGTCTGACCTAGGTTCTTGATAATGTTAATGGTGTACTTGAGAAGATAGGAGACCGTTGATTTTGGCCCTTAATCCGAGCACATGGAAATGGATAATTGAAGTAGAAAGAATAACTTGAAGAAGAAAATTTAAGAAGGTTGAACACAACTTTTATTTATTTATTTATTTATTATTATTATTATTATTATTATTATTTTGGTAATCACTCCTACTTTTTATTAAAACAAGAAATTACAAGACAGTTTGTAAAATATTAGTTTTGTTTTGGTTCAGGATGAAAGTCTTTGATGCAATATTATCGAAGTAAAGAAGGGGCACATGAATAAATTGAGACCACACCCGAATGAGAGTTATCTTAAGAATAGGTGACTAAGAAAGATTTAAAAGAAGTGAAAGTCATTACATGTGCCAACAAGGTTGTCACAACCAAAATTTTGAAACTTTGAAACCTGAATTGAGATAAAAAAGACGAAAGCGAAGAAAATAAAAATAAAAATAAAATAAAAGATGAAATTTCGATAAAATTTAAATCAGAATAAAGTTAACATCATTAAATTAAATACAAAATAAAGTCCAATTATAAGATGGTGCAGTTCAAATTTATTACAAGCGAAGAAAATGAATTTGTGATACAATTACCAAACAGAATACAAAAGACTAAAACACAAAGACGAACTAATGCTCTAGAATGACCCCTACTGTGACTGCACAACTCTTAAATGCTTCTCCACCTTGATAGACAACCTATGAATACCTGAAAAGAAAGGGAAAAAGGGGTGAGTTTAAAATTATACTAAGCTACTTGTAGGTTGTTATTGGAGCATTAACCTAATAGGTTTCACAAACTTTTTTCTGAGCTCTAGGAAGTTCAGACCTAATATCTAGTGCGATCTGAGCCTCTGAAGTGTATCGAAGTTCCAAAAAGATTTATGGTCTAAGTCTTACTCTATTAGGGTCCGTAAAGGTCTGACCTTGACAGCTTGCAATACTTAATGAATGACCAATGACCTGATTTGAGACAATAAATCATAACATTATGATGAGGTAATATGGTAGTTTCTAGTTTGAAAATCATCCAAGGGAGGCTAGCTAGTGCATCCCTCGGAATCATGGAGTCACCCGAATCTAGAGGATGCGACCCTCTATGTCCTTGCCATGTACTGGGCTAAATGATGTGGTCTCAATCTTCCCTCTCAGGAACGGATTTACAGCAAAATGGCCTTGTTCAAGAGACCACTAGCCATTTCCACAAAACTAAAGCTTGCACTACCCTAACCGACCTGTGCCTATCTCAATAGTACTATTATCGGAGTGGAAAGAGTAGTTAAGGGTCTAAAGACATTGTGCACACTACTTATAGCCTAGAGAGCTACCTTGGTCATTCTTGGTGCCATGGAGATCTACTAGGTTCTTATCGGTGTCTAGACGATTTAGATCTCGTTTATCGTTTCTAGAATGCTTAGGGTTAACTCCTCGAGACTAATCCAATCTTTGGGTACACACAGGTCTAGATCTCTAATTGTCGTTCATGATCCTGGGGTGCTCAGTCCACTGAAAACATATTGACCTAGGTCAACATATAAATAACACTAGTCCCCAATCATATTTAGGTTCTCTAGTGC